AAGCTCGTGCAGCCCAGTGACCTTCACCCCATGGCCTGCTCACACGTGCTGCACAAGGAGGTGAGTGTGCTTCCCCGCCACCTGCTGCTCTTTGGGGCCGTTAAGGGTTCCTAGTGCCCGTTCCCTTCCGGGGGCTCTGGGCACGTGTAACGAGTCCCTGTTGCGCTGAGATCTTGCCAGGAGAAGGGTGTGATCAACAAACAACTTCTCTGCATCCCCTCATCCCCCCTTTCCTTGCTGTGGCTGTTTGGTGGTGGCTTTAGGAGCAGGCTGTCCTTACTCCAGCCTGGGTTGGATGCTGTGAGGGTCAGATCCTGGCCTTCTGCCTTCCTGGAGCAGGACAGTCGGAAAGGATCTAGCACACAGGAGCTGCCACCCAGGTGTTGGGGCTCTGTGGGTCTGTGTGCAGGAGCCCTTGGGAAGAGGAGGAGACTTTCTCACCCCGCAGTGCTGGCGTGTGTAGGCAAAACCCCTCATCCCAACGGCTCCGGGGCCTCCAGCAACTGCCAAGGAAATGGAAAACCATGTGTTGAGGAGGGCCTGATGATCCTGCTGCCCTGGAGAGGGCTCCCTCCGCACAACCACCTTTCCATGGAGGCCGTCTCACAAAACATTTCCATCCCTTAAAATGAGTGCCCTTGCCAGCACTGTTCTGGATAAGCGGTGCCACGCCACGTCCACGGCGCCTCTGAGCTGTGCCCGTGGCTCTTGACTGACTCTCTCTCTTGCAGTGCATCAAATTCTGGGCACAGACCAACACAAATGACACTTGCCCCTTTTGTCCAAGTCTCAAATGACGGCTACTCGAACAAAGCGGTCCCGCAGGAGGAGTTGCTGTGAATAGACAGGATCAGTTCCCAGATTTCTACAGTTCTATATTTATACGACCATGTATACACATGTACATTTTTATTATATAGGGAATGTGTGTATAGAAAGTCTGTATACATACAAATTGATAAATAAAGTGTGTATATTATGCAGTGATTTGGTGCTGCTCCTCATTTCTCAGTTCCCAGCCTTGGAATGAGCGTTGAGGCAGAACCTGTTTGCTGGGATGCTGGTGACCTGCTGGAACTGCCTCTTCCCCCTCACAGCAGTTCCTCCCGTGGTGCCGGTGCTCCCAGCAGCTCCACGCTCACCACAACCCCATCCTTTGATGGGACACCTCGCCGCCCCGTGCCCCAGTGGCCCGGTCCCCTGCCACCTCTGTCACACGGCAGTCCCCCTCTTGGCAATGAACAGGTGGCAGATGCAGAGCAGGTTTTTTTTGTGGTCTTTTTTTTTAATGTAATAATGATTTACCGTGTTAACATTCATTGTTCTTACACAGACAATAGGTTACAGAGTACTGGGGTCTACAGCGACAGCCGGCGGTGCCCGTCCCCGTCCCCATCCCCTCCCGCGGGGCAGAGCTCCGCACGCGCCTTCGCCCGGCGTTCCCGGCTGTGACCCTGGGGAGGGAGCGCTCAGGAGCGGATGGATTGGGCTGCGCTGCAGCTCAGGATCACCAACCTCCTGCAGTTCCCAGTTTCCCTTCTCCTGTCCTTTCTCCTAAAGCGCGGGCTGACACGCCAACCCTTTCTCCATGGATTTTGGTGGGATTGCGAGGTGCCCAGCACCACTTAAAATCTTGCACTTATGCCATAGAAGTTTATTTTCCCCCCTGATTTGCAGTCTGTGGCACAAATTCAGCGCTGCCAGAGGCAGCCACGCCCCGGGGTTGCTCATTGCAA